GAGATTCATTCGTTATAAACACACATAATCGAAGACATACATTTAGGACCCCTTCACATCTCATAAGCACGCCATGAAAAGACCACACATAACAATTAGCATAGCATAAGATTGACAAATTCTACATATTTGTTTTCATGATGCATATGTCATTAGGTCTATATGGGGTTGAATTAATTTATGGGTTCTGATTGAGGCCAAAGAACGAAATTCTATCTTACATGAAATTTGAAATGGACGTGTTTACCAAGATCCATTTAGCAACAGAGATGGACAAACTAAAGATGGAAAAATGCCATATTGCATGACCATATCTAATAAAATTCATTGGATATATTGATGTTTTAGTTAAAAGAAAAAAATATAGTAACTAAAAATATGTGGGGAATTAACACATTCAGCAGCTGCATTAGTTCAACGCAACCTTTTTCTGACTCATGAGAAATTTGAATACAAAACAGCTATGATTCGGAAGCAATGAGTACCAACCATACCAGATCAAAACGCACCGACCGAAGTCAAATCCATCATCGTCATCTCACCACTACCTACTATAAAAAACATTGATAAAACGATTTAAGGAAAACTACTCACAAGAACTTGGGAGCGCAGGAAGCATCGTTGGCCAGAGAGGCAGCAAATATGTCAACACATTACACCGCCAATCCAGGGAGCGGCAAATCCCCTGAGGCGGATACTCAGCTACTACTTTCAGCGTCTTGCATCTAAAATTTCACTCCAAGAATGCTTCCTCAATGCTCAAATAAGCTATCATCAGATCACTAGGATGCATAATCTAGAACTCAACATCATGAGGGAGAACTCGAACCACAATGCATGTCATCGAGCATATGAACATCGTGTTTCATAGACCATTCGCCATCTTCTGTGAGTATGAATGCTCTCAGTGTGCATCTGAAGTTTGACCTAACCACAATGATCCTTGGCAAACACTAAGCCCTGTACAAGTTTCCTGACCTATAGAATCAAAATCATACGATAAAACTGACGGAATACAATGATGTTGCACGAGAAACTCGTTGTTCTTGGGATTGTAGACCAAAGTGTTACACGGTTCAAACAACCAATAAAGCCTCTCATTGTGGGGAACCAAATGTGAAGAACACACCTCTACATAAACACGACGAATCGGTAACTGCACACTACTAGAAGTCCAACATCCTGTACGAGATGAGAATATCTCAACATCTACCTCAAGGGGATCCCCTTCATCATCGTCATCATCATCATCACTATCATAATCATCAAGGCTAAACAGATGCAGAATAACCACCTTATACCCAAATTATTCACAATTCATAATGATCGAGCATCGATCATCTTCGATATGGTACTACGGATCACAGATAAACCCGACCTCAAAGTCAATGACGGAGCACTTAAGAGGTGGTGGGAGGGCAAGCCACTACTTTGTGAGGGGGGTTGCAAACATAATTCACGAAAGGAAACATATCATCATCATCATCATCAGGAGAGCACAAGAACAAGACGTTGGAAGGTAGAATAACCACACACCTTGTTCTCTGATTACCACTTGCAACAAAGGGAGGAAATCAAATGATACTTGGAAACCATTAGGGATGTTCCAAGTGGGATATACTAGCAACATATTCTCCCGAGGATAACACTATAAATGCATCACCTCCCGGTCCTCCTCATCAGAAGGAGGATGTTCCCTAGTACTCTGCAGGATATAGTGACTGATGAACGAAGGTAGGTCCCAGAGAAAAGAGAGCCATAGCTTGCAGACGACCCTATAGTGGAATGCATCTATGACAAGAATCCGAATCAGAACTTCCACTAGTAGACGGTGAGGCAGTACATCATTTATACTAAGTGATGATGCTATGCCAGCCATGGAGAACTGAACTGCTCTCTAGGAACTCAATCCAAAACCAATGCCAATTCGCTGTGCATATCACAAGAGGGCAACATCCAGGTACCCCTGTAGCCAACGAACAACCAATAAGTCAATTGGTTATCTAATATCAAGTCTTGTACATCCCACAAGAAGCTAGTTATGGTTATTAAACATTAACAAGCACCCAGCACTTATAAGAGTTGAAGTTTCCTAACTACTGGGTAGGGATACCGAAATTCCTGAATGAAGATTGACCCGCTAATCAGCTTGCCATGGAAATTAGGTTACGACCAAAGAACAATATCAAAATCCAATGACTAGTCAGCCGAAATTGCTCAGTTTGGATCCCAATTAGCTACTTAGTTTGAATGGAAGAGAAGCAATCCTCGCCTTCATTTTGACAAGTGAATCCATGACGAAAAAATAATTTTCGTTACGACATTGCACCGACGATCAAATGATGAACGACCATTGATGCACTTATAGCGCGTACCTTTCGATTGGATATGAGTGGTGGAAGGAATTGAGAGGAAGGAAGCGTCAATTGGTTCTCGCCGTGTAAAAAGTGCGGAGGCCTTGAGTTTTTTCCCCCTTTTCTTTCGGCGGCGGAGCGGCATCAACTTTGGTTACGCAAGAAATTTCCGGCGGAGCGGCAACAACTTTGGCTATTAGAGTTATGACGTGACTTATGAGAAGACTCAAAATGACGACGCAGGCCATGAAAAATATTGGGGAAGTCAATGGATTCCGAAATCTAGTACAATTGAAAATTTTCTTTGTTGATTGTCGGACTCATGGTTAGAACCCAGAATTTGTTGGATGTCCTTTTTTTAACAACCAGCCTGTATTCATAAAATTCAAAGTTCAAGGGTTACATTGTCATCCACTAAAAGTTTGGGTATCAAGAAAATAGGAGGTTGAGACATCCATATTTCCGTCTCCTCTACTAGACTTTTTGTTCTAGTCATCGTGTGGGCACATTCGTTTCCATCTCTTCCCCAGAACCGCCACTCCACATTTCCTTCCTCACTAGCTATTTCTCGGATCTCATCACATATCACCACTACCTCCATCTTTGTAGTCTCCCGTCTATTGAGCTTCTGAATTACAGATTGACAGTCGGATTCCATCAATAGGGGGTAGAAATTGGTGTGCTCGAGCAAGCTTCAGTCCCCAAAGTAGGGCTTGGGCCTCCGCCATCTTCACCGGCCATTTCGTCCTTGTCCGGTAAGTCGCTCCCATCTGGAAATGTCCCGCTCCGTCTCTGATTACCAGACCATAACCTGTTCCCTCTTCGTCTAGGATCGCTGCATCGGTGTTCAATTTGAAGGTTCCCTGTGGCGGTAGTTCCCATTTGACATGGTTTCATGAAATCAGAAGTTGCATTCCTGACTTTCCCGATGATTGCTGAGATTGATATTCCTCCAGGTAATTTTGAGCCCTTACCGCTATTTCCCATTCTTCTAGTTTCGGATTATTGAAGAGATGGTTGTACCGTTCTTTCCATAAGAACCATAGAGTGATTAACACCTTAGTCAGCTCTTCCTTACTCGTCCCTTCGACCAAATTGCATAGTCATTCTTCACAGCTTTCCCCCTCTCCAATGGTGAAATATTGAGCCAGATCCCTAGGTTTCCACACCCTACTTGCCCAGTCACATTCCCGCGTAATTGCATAGCTAGGATGTCCTCATTTTCACATTACCACTACACCAATTTCTTGAGTTAAGGTGGTTTTCAAATGTATTATCATTTTGGTCATTTTTCTCTTTTGTCCAATATCATGAGTAACCCACGAGCCACATGTCAACAAGAAACAACATCGTTTACTTCATGGATTTTTGAAATGATGGCTTTGGTAAAGCTTGAATTTTGAAAAACTTTAGTCGTTTGCTTCGTGGATTTGAAAAGTGAAAGTTTTGGTAAAACTTGGGTTTCGTAAACCATGGATATATGAGGGTTTTAGGTTCATTATGGACTTGACAAATACCATTATTTGTTTCATAGATTTCATTATGGATTTGGTTAATTTGTATGTATGAAGTAAAATTGACCTATATTGCCCTCATTGGTATGAGAAGAGAAAGATAGTAGGAATGGTAGTTTGGTCATAAATGATGGACTTCAAAATCTATGATCAATTCCCACCTAAGGAGGTGGAACTTTCAAGTCCGTGTGGTCCATGGATTTGGACCCTTAAAGTTTGTGTGGTCCACGGATTTGTTACCCCTAAATCCATGAAGCAAACAATGGAGTTTAGATAAAGTCCATGATTGATTCAAATCCATCACCAAATTCATAATGCAAACGAACCCTAAATTTATAATAGATTTGTGGGCATAATATGGATTTCAAAGAATTTATTGTATGCTAATTAAATATGATTCTGTATTTATTTTATTAGATCATAGATTTATACCCATACTCCAAATCTCAATTCCCAACTCTTTTCAAGTTTGTAAACCCCCACAGATTTGAACCTTTCAAATCCATAGGTCCCACAAATTTTGCACCACCAAAATCTTTAAACAAACAAAAAAAATTGCCTGATACACAATGGATGAGCTTTGCTATCCAAATCCATCATCACAACCCTAACTTCCTTTGATCGACCATCACTCTACCTAACTGATGACAATCCATTGATTCCAATCTCTAATATTTATCCACTCTCAAATGCAGTGGCGAAAGGTAAAGTTAGAGTGGGAGGGCCACAATTACAAACACAAACGCATAACTGCCTCTTGGATCAAACTCACTCTAATGAATGGCATGGCGCTGTCCAAACAGAGTTCCCAGAACCGAAAAAGAGTGCAATCTAAATTATTTACATGTAAAGGTTGTGCAAGAAACTCATCTGTACCAGTAGAACTTACAAAGCAAAAAGATAGAATGTAAAAAGCAAATTTCCACAACATAAGTACCACCAAAGAGAAAACCATTCCTTTCAGAGCTCAACTGCCATGGTTTTCAACATTTCATGTATGTTCAAACGAAATTCAGAATGGACCACCTAACTAACTACTGCCATATGCACTGCATATCAACATGCAATGGACAAGGTCATTCACTTCATCATCAACTACAACCGGGTAGGCCAAGGAAATAAAATTAACTGCTTAAGCAGCAGGAAGAGTAGGAAGAGGGGTCGGCCAAAGTGGAAGAGACAATGTCAGCACATTGGACCACATCAGACCCCTGCCCTCCTTGTTCTTGCCCAAATTCTCGGCTACCACTTTCAGTGTCCTGCCCCCAAAGTCACACTCCAGTAACGTCGTTTCCACAGTCAAATAGGCTATCATGGGATCATATGGATGCATAGTCCGGAATTGAACAGCGTTCGGAAGAATCTTCATCGTGTTCTTGACCGAATTTGCACTGGAAGGCAACCAATCAAGGATATTGACATTATGCTTGAGATGCCATTCACCATCTGCCAGTGTGTATACTCTCAGTTCCGCACGCCAAGCTTGTCCTGCCCAAAATGAACCTTGACACTGGCTAAGCCCTTGAAAAGGCACCATAAGCGAAAGCACCAAAGGAATCATGCACAATACATCCGAAGGAGGAGTAATGTGGTGGAGAAAAAACTCTTTCTTGTTGGGATCATAGATCAAAGTCTCACATCTTCCGAGCAGCCAATAGAGCCTTCCATCGTATGAAATCCCCGTTCCCAGGGCTGGTAGAGCCGTAGAGGTAACACCTTTCACGCATCGGGCCCTTGATGTAGTCCAAAGTCCCACGTCAGATGAGAATACTTCCACATCCATCCCAAAGAGATCTTCTTCCTCATCCTCGTCACTACTAGAGTAACGCCAACGTACAACCTTGAAACCAAATCCATCATTCAAAGTGATCAAGCTATCATCACCTTGCACGAGGTAGAATGGATCACAGATAAAACCAACATAAACATCAGGACTGTCCTTATGAGGAGATGGTGGAAGGGTAAGCCACTCCTTAGTGAGCGGGTTGCAAATGTAGTATGTGGCAGGCATGGTCTTATAAGGGGAGCACAAGAGCAAGCCATTGGAAGATCCCAAAACCACACGGTATAAGGTACTACTGTAATAATCCTGGCCAGCAATGAACGGCAGCAAATTCAAAGATAAGTCAGAACCATTAACGATGCTGCAGGTGGGAGTTACCAGAACCATTTCCCTGATGCTGCACTGTGCGTAAACCAGCTGCTGATCCTCCGCACTGGAAGAGGCCTGCTCCGTAACCCTCTTGCGAATGAAGCGTCTTTTGAAATATGGATCATCCCGAATGGAAGAGAACCAGAACTTGCAAACAGACATACAGCGAAACACATCTTTCAAAGGAATGCGAACCAGAACTTCTACCAGTAAATGGTGTGACAGAACGTCATTGATACATAACGCTGACGATTCGAACCCAGCCATGGAAGCCTTCTCCCTGGAAATTCAAAACCAATCCCGATTCTACTTAGTATCATTGCGACCAAAGAAAACATACATTCACCAATACAGAGACAATCACCATGAAATTTGCTTACAACCACAGAAAAGAAAATCAAACGGCCCGGATAACTTAACGACGATCAAATTCAAGGTTCAGAGTTGGAATCAGAAAGATCAAATCCAACTCGCTTTGAACTTTTACTAAGGGTTTCATAGCCGAAAATAAAATGAAATTCGACTTTGGGACGCAGAGAAGAATAAAAGAAACAATCCTAAATTGCGGGCGTACCTGGATTGAATGAATCGTATAAGAAAGTTATGGGAAGGAGGCCACGATTTGGATTCTCGCGGCGGCGTTTGAGTTTTACCGCAGCGGAGGATGGCGGGGATTTCCCGGCCGTATATTGCTCCGACTTCTGACAACTCGCGGAACGCTTGCGCACGCAAAAGCTTATTAGCTTCGGGCTTGGGCCTCTCAAATCACAATTTAGTTATGGACTTATGGTGCTTATAGGAGTTAGGGTGAGTATCATCAGGTTGTCATCCCAGGTTAGCCCGTTGGCCCCGATAAGTTAGTGGTTTAAGGATAGCTCATTTTAACCTAGATATTATTAAATAGGGTTACTTGCATGGTTGGTCACTGAGATTACAAAAAACGTTCATGTTTGGTCACTGTAAATATTTAAATCCAATCTTGGTCACTCAAATTAGTTAAATGGTTCAAGTTTGGTCACTCTCCGTCCAACTCCGTTAAATTTGTCTGATGTGGCAGTCAATCCTCAAAGTTGACTGTTAACTCAGTGACGTGGCAATTAAAAAATAATAAATAAAATAAATTTTAATCTTCTACCCTTTCCAACTCATTTTCACATTAAAGTAAAAAAAATAAAACAAAAAAAAATTACAAATAAAGGGCGCTTCCTCCCTCTCCCTCTTCAACAACTCCATCAACTCCTCCCTCCCCGGCGCTGCCATCTCCGCCTGCCGCACCCTCCGCTTCCTCGACCTCTCCCAGAACCTCCTCCAAGGCCCCATCCCGCCCGCTCTCGCCGACCTCCCCGACCTCCGCCACCTCGACCTCCAGGGGAACAGCGCGGCCCCGTCCCGCCTCCTCACCGCGATCCCGTCGGCGTACATCAGATCCGCCGGCAGGATCACCCGCCTCGCTCCCCCGGTGACCTCATCGACCTTGAACACCTTCCCGGTGTTGCTCTGCACCACGAGAAGGTACCCCTTGCTGACGTAGGCCACGCCGTTGAGCCCCGATTCGCTGTACGACAGGTCGTGGTCGACGGGGGATTCGGTGAATTTATCCGATCTAGAGAAGATCGACGCGTTTCCTTCCGAATCTACTTTCCAGATGAAGTTACCTTCCTCGGTTCCCAAGGAATTGGTGACGTACGCGTTGCCCTTGAAGTCGACGGCCACCGCGTTCGCGACGGGGCGGCCGGTGGCTCCGCCGTCGGGGAGGAGGGAGAGGAAGAGCTGCTGGCGGGTGCGGAGGTCGTAGGCGGCTAAGGCGTTGAAGATTGGGAGCGGGGCCATGGAGTGGACGGCGGCAAGGAGGCGGTTGTTGACGGAATCGACCGCCAGGCCGAGGATCGAGGCGTTGGGAGGGAGGGAGAGGTCGGTGATGAGGGTGTCTACGACGCCAGCATCGGAGACAGAGTGGATCGAGCGGTGGCGGAGGGATCCGACGATGAAGTGTTGTGCGGAGCGGTCGTAGGCGAGTCCCTCTGGGTAGAGATTGGGGGATCGGAACTTGATGAATGATGACGTGTGGTTTCCCCACCGTGGATGGGATTGGCGCGATTAGGAGGATGATGATGGAGAAGAGGAAGGAGATCGGAGAGATTGCAGCCATGGCGGATTGAAATGATTGATTTGGGGGGCGCGCTAGCTAGGGATTTAGAGTTTGGTTAATGGCGATGGGATTAAGGTGGCGGAGGTCGAGGTGTCACTGTAAAATTATTTATTTATTTATTTTACTTTAATGTGAAAATGAGTTGGAAATGGTAGAAGATTAAAATTTATTTTATTTACTATTTTTTAATTGCCACGTCACTGAGTTAACGGTCAACTTTGAGGGTTGACTGCCACATCAGACAAATTTAACGAAGTTGGACGGAGAGTGACCAAACTTGAACCATTTAACTAATTTGAGTGACCAAGATTGGATTTAAATATTTACAGTGACCAAACATGAACGTTTTTTGTAATCTTAGTGACCAACCATGCAATTAACCCTTATTAAATATATACCTATGTTGAAGTGATTTAATAATTTGATGACTAAAATGTAATTTATTTACAAGTATCAATGTATCATTTTAGCATTAATCTACGATTATTATTTAAAAGAAAACCTACATCTGTCCATAAACGCATAAATCTTATCCTTTCTCCTATCTTCTTCACCTATAGACACAGACAACCACACGATTACACAAATTAAAATCCCTCATCTCCGATTCTCATAAATCCCATTTTCCTTCCGCCTTAGCCTGAACAATCTCGTCTTCTCTCGCCAACCTCGCTTTCCACTCGCCCCATTCTTCCAAAACACCAAACCTAGCTTTCCTACTTACCCCAATCTCCCCAAACTCCACCATAGCTTTAACTCCGGCCGGTCCTTAGCTGCATGGGCTCCCCGCCTCACTCACACTCCTCCGACGGTCACCGCTTACGGGATTCCTCCTCCGTCGGATTCTCTGGCTCTCTCAAGCTTCGAATCTAGAAAGATCTCCCCCAACGATGACTATAGAGGCGGTGGGTACTGGAAAGGGAATCAGAATCTATGAAAAGAAGAATGACGAGAACGATGGTCAAAGCAGCATGGGCGATTATGGACTTTTTTTGGTCTTCATACTCCAAATCCACACACGAGCAAGACCCGTTGACTCAGTCACCTTGGCCAATAGTCCAGGTCTGGCGGGTTTGACCGGGATCGGACAGGTTTGTCCAAGTCCTGGCGGAAGCTTGGCTGGACCACTGGCACCCATTTTCATGGATGGGTCGGGCCAATCTGGGCCGACTCTTGGTTGACAACCTTGGTGAGTATATGTTCACAGGGTCGGATGGCCACCCATGTCGCTAAGCCAAGATCCATCGGTGGAGGAAGATTGGAGCCAGCATGTGAGGGAAGAGAGCCGAGTCCATTGGCTGGCCCAAGCCCACGGCGGAAAAGTGGGGCCCGCCGGGCCCACAAATTAAAAAAACCACCAATTTTTTATACCCAAATCCCTCCCACCTCTTTGTTCTTTCTCCGCCAGTTTCTGTTCTCCCCCCCCCCCCACCCAAAAAAAAAATAGTCGATCGTTTTCCCTCTCCCTTTCCTTTCCCGAAGAAAAAATTTCCTCACACCTTCCTATCCCGATAACAATGACGGTGACGGATGGTTTGACGGCGATGAAGGGTTTGACGGCGGCCAGGACGATGAAGGCTTGGTATGATGGCGTCGACGGTGTAGACGAAGGGGTCAGATGAAGGGCTTGGTTTGACGACGACGAAGGAGTGACAGTTGGTTTGACGGCGGCGCGACGGTCGTTTAAGAAAGAACAACTTTGTCGACTGAGGTAGTCGTCTCCTCCTTCCTTTATTCATGGATACGAATGTTCGTTTGAGTAGATTCGAGTTAGGGTTGCATGGCTTCGACTGGATTTGGGTTTTTCTTTTCCTTCATTTTTTTGGTTGAGTTTTATGGATTTGTTTTCCGGTTACATGGATTTGACTGGATCTGAGTTGCTTTCTTTTGCTTCGTTTTTTTGGATGGGTTTTGTGGATTTGTTTTGTGTGCAGTCCGATATCAGTTGTAAATTTCCTGGATATTGTTTTGGTGGGTGTTGGATTCAAGTTTTTTGGGGCCTGGGTTTTTGTTAGGAATTTCTTAGTTGTGTATTAGTTTTTCGACCAGGATATCACTTGTAATTGCCTGGATGTTTGTTTGATGTATCTGGATATGACTACATGTATATTGTTTTGGTGGGTAAGGATATCAGTTGTATGATTGACTGGATAATTGTTTGACGTATTTGGATATGAACTCATGGATATTACTCTGAGCGTTCGAGATTTTGTTTCTTTGAAGTCCAAATATTAGTTACTAAGGTCAGGATATTTGTTTGTGCAGCGATTTTTCCAAATGTCAAGAACTAAAACAACTGTGAGACAACGAACTGGAGAAAGACCTTTCAAGCCTCGTCGTGCTCAACCGCCACCGCCACGGAAAGACGAGGAAGAATAATATGAGGAAGAAGATGCTCAAGGAGGAGTTCAAGGAGGAGGCAAGTCATGGTACAGATTTCGGTGCCACACCATATCTCTGCTAGATGTTATAAAATACTGGAAGGAAGAGCCAAGGTACTATGAAGCTTGCAAGAAAGAGGTCGAGAAGGTTGGATTTGGGGGCTATTGGAACTTCGACTAGGCAATGTTCCTAAGAAGTTGATGGATTCCTTGATGTCACACTATGACTTGCGCACCGATACATTCATTGTCGATAAAGGGGAGAACAAGAAGGTGCTTACCATTGAAGATGAGGATGTTGCTCATGTATACGGCCTTCCTATTGGTGGTGCTAAGATTCATGTCGTGAAGTCTAACGACAAGATAGTCGAGATGTTCAAGGAGGATGTCAACATGGAGTGTAAGCGTTGTTGAAATTTCGAAGTTGTAGACCATAAAGAGGCGACATGTGGTAGTCCAGCTGATGAAGAGAAAAGGAGACCACTAGTTGCAGTCGCGGTGAAGCAATTCTTGTTGCTGACCATTGGTTCGATGCTCGTTCCAATGATATCACGACTTTGTAAGTTCGACTATTCAAAGTAACTTATTGGAAGGGTGGAGGACATTGCAACTATTGATCGAGTGTTCTTGTTGCCCGTGAGCTCAAGGTGGAGTTGGCTTCAGTTAAGAGAAAAGAACCAATGGCTAGGCGGACGGAAAGACAATGCAATGGGTGCTTGGGGATATCCACTTCTTAATGGTAACTTCTCCTTTTTACATTATTGATATTGTTCATTTCGTCCCTTGATATTAGTTAGCATTATAGGGATAATAATTAGCATGCTAGGATATTAGTTCTTTTCATACATGATATCAGTTTAGAATCATGTGATATTAAAACCATGTCTGAGATAGTAATTAGCATGCCTGGGATAGTAGTTCTTTCAATTCTAGATATCAGTTTGTTTCATACGTGATATTAGTTAGCATTCTTCGGATAGTAATTAGCATGTATAGGATAGTTGTTATTTTCATTTTGGATATTATTTTATATGCATGTGATATTAATAACCATTCCTATGATAGTAGTTCTTTCAATTATGGATACCAATTCGTTTCATGCGTTATATTAATAACCATGCCTAGGATAACAATTTGTTTCATTCGTTTTTTTTAGATCCATTTGCTAGACTTCCTTCGGGTTAGGGATGGCAAAAATATCTGTAACCATGGATATCCATCCGAATCCAACCTAATCGGGTAGGGTAAAACCCGAACCTGAAGGACTTTTACTGGGTACGTGTAAAACTCAAACCCGAAAAGTGTGGGTAATGGGTGGGCATGGTTTTCACACTATCCAACACGAACCCGCCCGATTATACACATACATATGTATTTTTACTAGAAATAATCATTATTTTTCTCTAACATATTTTATATTTAGCATATAAGTATAATATTTTCATGAAATTGTGTTGTGTTAATTAATTTCTTCATTCTAGTGAATTATTGTCATAATTTTCCTCTTATGTAATATGAGAATATGTATGAATGTTAAGATATTGGTTGGAGTTATAAAGATAAATTATTACCCATGGATAATCGTGGATATCCGAAACCCGAATGGGTATAGGCATGGTTTTGATTTTCTACCCATTTCTTATGTGGGTATGGGTTAAACCCGAATTACAATGAGTAGGGTAACGGATATGCTCTATCGCCCCCCGACCCATTGCTATCCCTACTTCGGGTGAGAGGATTCACCACAAACACCATCCCGAGCTGTAACTATTGGTTCGATCCAATGGTGGAAAAGGTGTGCTTGAATATCCCCAGGGATGACAGATATAATTTGGGTCCCATGTTGCTGTCAAGGGAAGAAGTCAGATCCAGCTTCCGTCATAGGCGTGTCAGGAGGGAGTGAGAATTAGGAACAAGCAGCTCACCACCTCCTACAGCTAATCCGCAGTACTACACAAATGATTGGTGGGAGGAAACTGACATGAAAACCCTTGAGACCAACTAGGTATGTAGATGTTCTCTTTGCAACTGAAAATCGTGGGTTAGTAGACATGTGTGCATGTAGTGAACTAATTTTTTTTTACAATATGTGTAGCTTAAGGCAGTGCAGTCCTTGACTGAAAAAGTGATGGATAAGTGGGATTCAAGGTGGGAGAGTGTCTTAAAGATTGCCATCAAGCGCCAGCAAGACAAAAATTGAACTTAGAAATTTTCTTCTGTTAAGTGGTTGTAATGTTTCATGTTAGGATGTTATAATTACCATGTTGGAATGACTTTGAAAACTACTTGTATCGAACAAAAGTTTGGTTACTGTGGATTTCTTTTCCAACTCGACTTTCTGTGTGGTGAGCTTGACCGGAACATGGGCAGATTGGTGGACTTGGTTTTCGTCTTTGTTAGCAGTGACCAAAGCAAGGATGGAAAAGGAGGGAGATGGTAGTTGTCATGGAGGAGGAGGAAAGTAATCAATGTAATGTGAGAGGCAAGAACATGTTTTGCCGCGTGTACTCCCTAAAAATATGTGAGAAGACAGTGTTGCCAATTCTTCAGGAGATGATGGAGACATTTGTTGTGTTGACTGCTCTCGAGGAGATGGATATTGTTGTTGATCCAGTTAAGGAGATGGTGGAGCCAGCCGTTGCATCGGCTGTTGATGACGTGTTGGAGCTAGTCGTTGAGTTGACTATTAATGAAGTGGTGGAGTCGAACAATTGTTGAGCCGATGGTCATACATTATGCTGACCCGGCTATGACATTTGAGGATGTTTTGTAGATAGAAATCTAGGCCACTGCGACTACTCAGAAGAGTATCACGACATCTCCAACTACGATAATTTTGATTACGGTGGATTTAAGTTATTGGTGTGTAATAATTGGTTCCATATATTATATAAACTGCTTGAAAATAACAATCATGAGATACCAGTTGGATAACTATGGATATTGAAATGAAAGCTCTCCATAATAGTTCCTTTACTGCTAGATACTGATATGAGTTGTCCATATAATATTTTTTTTATGAGTAGATACTTCTCTGGGTTGTCTGGATAATATTTCCTTCATGAGTAGATACTACGTTGTGCTGATGGTCATACATTATGCTAACCCGGATACAACCTTTAAAGATGTTTAATGTTTTGAAGATAGCTATCTAGGCCACTGCTACTCAGGAGAGTATCGCGACATCTCCGACTACGGTGGTCGCTCCCACTACTGATGTTATGACACAAGGATATGCAGGACCATCTAAGGAGAAGTTTATAGCAGTAGCTTGCGAGAGGATGGAGGAGAGTGACGATGACATTATAACGCAACATCATGAGAGGACTGAGGAGGAGGCAGAGAAATTGTACTCCATTACACCTTCAGCCTGGATAGGAACCCTAAACACTAAAGAGTTCTAGAGGTAAAAAAAAATCACTCATTCGTCAATTTAGTGTACGATTTGCCGAATTCTGTGTCGACGATACGGCTCGTCACGTGGTTGAGTTCATCTTTAGTTCCACTAATGAAAACGAGTAAGTTGTCACTTTATATTATGGTGTGGCCAATTTCAATCTGTCCATCACACATTACTAACCCAGTTTTCATTTGGGTTTTACAGTAGCAACTTTGTCATTGACGCTCCAAACTGTAAGCTTGCCCGTTTCCACTTCCTTACATTGAAGCGCACCACTTGGATGCATAGTCATATAGTAGAAGCATACGGGCAATACCTAAATGACAAAGAAGTACAATAGGGGGTGGTGAAGAGAATTATCTTCTCATGGAGTTTTGTTGTAAGTGTGTTCTTCACTACTTAGATCCTATTTATATTGAAAATGTCTTATTTGATATTGATGTCCCTTCTACATAGCAACATGTCGTGGATAATGCTATCAGAAAATAACCCGTGGATAAGTGGAGACTCAGTGTGATAATTACTTTGGCCAAAAGGAATCCACTGCTGAAACGTGCCAACTTGAAAACATGTGATTATGTAAGTGACTGTCGGGATACTTGTCTGCAATGTTTGGATTTACTCTGGTTTTCCTTGATATTATTTTGGGTATTTAGTATTTTAGTATGGGTTGTTACGATATTAGTCAATGAATAACTGACTATGCTTTGTGTTTCGGATCATCTTTTCCATTTATCTAAATTATCACTATCGAGTGTACGCTGTTGACATGAAGAATATGAAGACTTTCCTCTTCGATATCATAAAACCCAATGGCAGAGCGGCTAAGGTGTATCATGCACCACTTGGGAGAATGATTTTTTAGTATGGGGCAACATTCCTCGAAAACTAGGGGGTTGATTGTGCATTGAATAAGTGGCAATTCAATGTTGCCGATGTTCCTTAGCAGGTTGGAAACAATGATTGCGGAGTATTTGCATGCTTTTACATGGAGCAATGGGCGGGTCACCTTACAGTGGAATATAAAGCAAGTTGGCACATTGCGGCCAATGACTCACTCTACTGTCACTCTAGAAAATGGCCAACTGAAACCACTTCCTAAAGCCTAGTATAGCGGGTTTGGGTTTTAATGTCAACCCGGGTCCTAGATTTGATGACTACTCGGTGAATTCTTGTTATCTAGCAGTGAAACTTTAGTGCAAATCCAAATTAACAAACAGACAAAGCAAGTTAAACAGTTGTTTTCAAGTGGAGAGAGGTCACCCGGATATGGTTCCCCCTAGACTGCAGTTAAGCTGGATTGCAATTTACCAAGTTCAGTTTCCATAAAAGTTATACTGCGGAAGGTTCTTAAGCAGTCTGAAGTCTCGACTAAAGGTCTCCAGACCCTCTCAATCTGAGTCTCCAGCGGGCGACTAACCTCCACCGGAGTAAACAGATTGAGGCCCTAACGAACCAAACCTCCACTACCGAATTGAATTCGGTACAGTATAGCGAATTGGCTTCTCGACTAAAGTCACCAATTCACCACCTTCAATTAAGGATGCTCTATCAACCTAGGCAGATATTCCCATTCTAGGTTAAAGCAGAAGCAACAGGAATTTGATCAGGATTCAAGTCATTCAATCATTAAAGCCTCAATCGAATATAATCAACTAATGAAATCTGTACTTGGGTTCATACAATCAGACCTAACATACAAATCTAGGGTTCTCCATACCCAGATGAATGGGAAAACTACTCCATGGAAAGAGAAGCAAAAGCAGATTCAAACGTGGAAATCATACTGTGAAGGATGAGTTTCTGCTCCTGGTTGTCAATCGGCCCTTCTCCAAGCTCAAGCCGGGCTCCAATGGTGATGAAGATCAAGCTAGGGCACTTGGGAACTCTTGTTCGTCGCTTTCTCTCTCTAGGAATTGCTCTGTCTCTCTAAACTCGAATCCCCTTCTCTTTTGGCTGAAGTCTGCCTAAAAGGGCATCACTGGGCAAAACACGGTCGAGGGGACGGCCGTGCTTTGCTCCAGCCCGCCCATGCCCTGGCCACGTGTTAAAAACACGGCCGCTACTTTGGGAAAACACGGGCGTGTTTGATGATGGACACGGTCGTGTTCTGGGTCAGTCCTGCCCGTGTTTTGAGCTAGTGTTTGTCAGTCCTGGATCAAGCCTCGGCAGTAAAAACACGGTCCAGGAACACGGTCGTGCTTTGATTTAGGCGTACCCGTGTTTTGGCTCCAGCTCGACCGAATGACTTTCGAATGCCCCGAAACTCGTGCTTAGCCTTTCCTTCGACGTCTGGGACCTAAAATATGACAAAGTAGCACAACCCGGCGTAAAATAGGCCAAAAATACACGACTATGCCCCTCAAACGGATAAGAACTAGGGATGCAAATACGTGCAATTACATCGTTATCAGCCAACCTCCTTTTCTAGCACTATAACCGCCGCAAACAGGAAATAATTGAATGTGCAAATTATTGGAATGCGCAGAAGGAGAAGGGAAAAAGAAGAGAAGTTGATATTTAGATTTGTGTAGTGTGATATTGGTCTATAAAACTGCACATAGGGTTGGATAATATTTTGGTGAATGATGTTGGTTTGTATCAGGATGGATAATATTTTGCCTAAGGATGGATATAATGATCAACTTAAGTTCTTATGCAAAACTATATCCTAACAACCCAGACTAACCCATACTAATATTTGTCATAGTGCAAAACAATATCCTAACAGCAAACACGAATCCATTGCCACACACCTGCAAACTAATATCCACAAAACACAGACAAATATTCGTAATGCCTAAGTTAATATCTAGATGGTTTAATAAAGACAGATACTAATTTGCTGAATGATGGAAACTGATTTCAATAACACTGAATAGTAGATAAAGATGGATAACACTTTAATTCATAAATAGAAATAACTCAACACAATACAAACTAACGACAGGATGTGCTAGTTCATTTCTTCACAGTCTCCTCGCTATTATCTTCATCATCCAACTCTGTAAAACGGGGAAACATTGCTTTGTCCAGTTCCATGTAAAACCCACACTTCTTATCATTGTCGTACTCGTACATTGGACATCCTAAATACCTACTCGGTGGGTTGACTCCAACAACAGCAGTCGTCTACTGCTCTCCAACCATGGTAACAGACACAACACCATCATATTCAAACTAATCCACCATCACCGGACCCGCAGGTTTAGTAGTCTCTCCAGACATGGACTTTGCTTTGAAAGAGAAGAAGAAACTGAGGAAATGAGATGTTGTCTTAAATAGACAAAGGGTCCCATGGAAGTATTTACAAAACTGTCATTTGAGAATATAAATAAAAAGGCTGACATGAGAAAAGTAACAAAAAATTTCACATGGGAATAGTGAAAGAATGAACCATTGGTACTCTTGTATGGAATGAATCACAAGGGAATAGTTACCAAAAGATCATATACGCGATTCGTAAAAAAAAAGATAATATTCTTATATCCACTAGTTAAAAAGATCATATCCATTGCAGATAAAATAATATCAAAACATTATGAACTAATATCATTTCAAGCCAAAACTAATATCAGCTCATACCACAACAAATATCGACACCAACCAATTTAATATTCGACCACATAAACCTTATCCCTGAACCCTGAACCCTGAGATCTAAACACTAAAATCCAAACCCTAAACCCTCAATCGTAAACCCTAAACCTAAGTTTGTGATACTTGAAACCATACTTGACGAAAGTGATGGTAGATGCTTAAATAAACAAAGAATCACATGTGAATAGTTACCAACATATAATATATACTAGTATAAATATAATATCCACGGCGGGCATAACAATATCCATACCGCCCAAACTAATATCATTTCATGAAAACACAAATATCATTACCGCCCAGATTAATATCCAACTAAATAAACTAATATCATACATAAACTAATATCCGTTTATCACTGAACAATATCCATTACAGGTGGAATAATATCCTACCTATTACAAAAACATATCCTGCCATCACATGTCAATATCATATCACAACAGACCATTTTTGAACCACCCTACATTTCTATTCATAACCATTTCTGCAATATCATTATCATCTTAGAAATCACTAATATGGTTATCTGGTTGAGTATCGTTGTCCATGGCATCATCTTCGACTGATTTCATTCTATTCCTATAGACATGTTTCTTTCGACGACATTCTTTTTCATTCATAGACTAATAACTTTACTTTCCTTGGCTTCTTGGATTACTCTTCTCCTTTAAAATCAGCCCACTTATCAGTAAAGACCGTCCTACAATGTTAGAGAAATGATATTAAACTTTAACAATGTACAAATGATATTAGTGAATATACTTATTGTCCTCGCTATTTATAGTCTTTGACAATGTCTTGTTTGCCTCATTTCATACTTTCTTAAGTGCTCCCATCCACTTGTTGTAGTCTTTCTCATCGGCCATCGACTGGTTTGCTATTAAATGATTCAACATTGCAGTGGGTTCTCGGTACCGCATTGTTATCTCTTTTCCCGCATCATTCTCAGTGGCGGCAGCTGAAGGACCAACTGAACAATCCACACCAATAACCTCTTTCTTTCTCCCCTCCAACGTCCATCGCTTGAGTATGTAATACTCTAGAATACTTCTCATACTAGCATTCCTAAAATCTCCAAGTAGCCGCATCACCTTAATCATGTGGCGGCATAATACTCCAAAAATTTTGAACATCTTGCATTCGCATACTAGCGTCCTTTTAGAAATATTGACGAGAAAGACACACTCATCACTACGCTCACCATCCTCCATCTTATACTTGAGATAGCCAATCATGCCATTGTCCCTAGTATGTGAGGGCGTCTGCATTTGATAAGATTTAGTTTCCAAATACTGCTCATGTATCCGGTTGAATATGTTAGGAGCAATGCAGTTAAAAGCGCAATTTTAACTAGAAGCGGAGAAGGGGTAAAATCGTAAAGAGTAGAATCAAAGCATAAAAGCGTAAGTTTTTTACGCATACTGTAAATAGCTAAAAATGTGTTAAGTACGACATATACTATGTAAAATATGAGTGCGCATATTTAGATAAGTTAATAAATACCCGCAATTCATGTCTAAAGTAGAGCAACTCATAACATCTTAACAATAAGTTTATAAACATAGATCTTAAGAATATCAGCCACATCCCCCTCTATGCTAATGAATTTGGAAAGAGCCAAACAAGTGAATTAGATTACTCTATTAAAACTAAGAATGCACCCAAGTTTATTCTCAAATGTAACAGATTGTTGGTGATTACCTTTAAAATATACTTTTTATAATTAATTTCATGAATAGAATACCCATTTAGTGAATTAGAAGCGTAAAAGCATAAAGCGTTTTGGTGAACTAAAAGCGTAAGCTTTTAAGCTTTAAAGCACAATTTAGTCTGGTTTTACACACTAAAGATTTTATATGGAAACGAAAGCTCTTTGGTGACCTAAAAGCGTAAAACCGCAAGCTTTTAAGTTTTGAAGCGCGATTTTAACTGCATAGGTTAGGAGTAAAGATCTTTGCCGCATGTTGGAGGATCGAGCTATGCTCCAAAATTATATGGGGAAATGACTTTTTCCCATTGTAGTCTGACTCAGTCTCTTTGCGTCTTTTTTCAGCCAACAAACTACAATTAGGAAGAAAGACAAAAGAGTTCAGTGCCTAGACTAATACCACTCAAATCAGTACGAATATCCGACAAACACAAAGTAATATTTCACCATTGCATAAGAATATCCACATGAAACATAACAATATCCAAACCTATCAAACTAATATCAAACAAGGGCAAAGTAATATTCTGCTTACGTACCTACTTAAGTGAATGAAATACAAGTCAAAATCATGCCTCCGTTTCAAAGAAAGTCGAACTTGTGCATTGCATGACTCGCTTGCTTGCGTAGTCAACATCTCAGCATGTGAATTGATCTCTCAACCATAAGGAACACCATCGAAGACGAAATTTCTTCAAATATTCCAACCATGGGTGCCCGTCTGCAATGTCGCTATTAGGGGAACATTCAGCAACCATGACGCCCCATGTCATGTCAAACTCTACTTCACTGTTGACGTCGTAGAAAATAAAAGAAAGACGATTTTGGAACTTCTTTCAAAAATCTTTTTCCTTACGAAGATGCTTCTTGGCATTCATGAGGATGTGCAATGTATAGAGGGCATGAAATAAAGTAGGTCACTCCTTTCTAAATGTAGCTGCCATGGCAGCGTCCTGATCAGTATAGATGGTGACTGAGAGCTTCTTCTACATGCACCGACTAAATGCAACAAACAACCATTCAAAAGGAGTAGTCTTGTCATACAACAAACAAGCACCAAACACACAAGTTTGACGGTGGTGATTGAAACCTACAAACATCCCTGCACAAGACAACCATTAATGACAATGCATAACCGAGTGAGTGTCCAAAAAAATCATGGCAATTAGGTGATTCACGTACCTAGTGGACGAAAGTATTTATTGATGCAAAAGGTTGTATCAAAGGAGACCGAGTCTCCAAAAAGTGCATAATCTTCAGCCATCCTACTGTCCGCCAAAAAATATTAGCAACTTTCTCATCGCAATCTTCATGTACAACATAAAAGAATTCGGGATGCTTTTCATTTTGGTCCTCAAAGTAGTCAAGCAATTAAGTATCTTCTCCACGAGCCATTTTCTTTTTCCTTTTACTGTTCAAGTGGTTCTTCTGATCCGATTTGATAAAAGTCAGATTTTGATACCCACTAGTACACTCATTCAGTAGTTGATGTGATGCGCTAAGACTCATCCCGGCAGCGCGATTAGCTTCAGCCATCTTTCTCTGAGCATCAATCATGCACTTGTTGGACTTGATTAGGTGTGTATGCCCGGTGGAGTGAAAATCATGATTGCGGGCTCCCACAAATTCATAAACCACAAATCCGTCTCTAGTATCTCACATCGAAAACGAACACGAGTGCTACATCCAACTCTAACTCGAGGCCTCTTTCTTTTAGGGCGCCTTCTCTCCACAACCTTGTCTTATGACTTATTTTGTTTCTCCACATTTACTTCGCTAGTGGAAGTCTAACCTTGCTCATTACAAAAGTAATAAAGGTATAAATAAATTTCCTCTATCACTCCTTTAGAATTCTTCATTTTTCTGGTGTGTATCTTTTCGAACATCAAAACTTTTTTTTGTGAGCGTAGCGTTTATAGAAAGCTAAACACTCTTCCTTATGCGATAAAATATGTTCTTCCTCGCTTCCTCATCTTCTAGGTTCGTTGTCTTGTGAGATGTGAGTTAATTGTATGAGGACATGTTAGTATCCATATTTAACATGCCAAGACTAGTATCCAATCTACGTCTAAATCGTACCAATAGACTGTTTTAATACTTAGGCTTCAACAAGTATCCAACATTACAATATATCTTACCCTTTTATCCCAGAAAAGTATCCATCACGTCCATTATCCAACATGCCTAGACTAATATCCAACCTATGTCTAAATCGTATCCGTGACACCCCAATAATATCCACAAACAAATGGCGTATGAAACTAGAAGTTACACACCCCAATATTAGTATCTTGCACCCACATATTAGTATCCCAAGTCGCCAATCAAAATCATTAAATGACATTCAATGCACACAACCAAACTCAACAACACAAACATATATAATTCAATCCACCTTCACTTTCTTCTTCTTCTACAGTGAGGGCAACCACACCACCTGAGTCTTCATCAACAAATTCATCTAATGTAGGATCGAGTTCTTCTTCTTCTTCTTCTTTATTTTTTGACATTCGGGTTGTTATCCTTCTTCATCGACAAAATGAGTTGATCACCCAACTCACCGTCGTCATTGATCATCATCCTCGAACGTGGACATTTTGGGGACGAAGGATCTACTCGCCAACAAGGAGATGCTCGCCGGAAATGATGATCACCGGCGACTCTCGTAGTGGAAGAGCATAAAAGCAAAGAAAAAATGAGAGGGAGTGTGGGGTTAAAAAGCCAAAAGTGGTTGATGGAATTTAATGGCTCATTTCCCCTTTTTCAGCTAACAAATATCCACCCAAATCTTTCCCCACCTTCTCTAAAAATCCCGTCCAAAATTTTGCCCCTCCCATGCCAGCCTGTCGGCTCCTCTGTTTGGCTCAGCTTAGGCCAAAAAACCCACCACGGCTCACTTAAATCCATCTCCCTCCTCGTTTGGATCTTTGTTGGGCCTTCGTGGGTGGATCTGGGCCTTGTAAGTATCTCCTCACAACAATGCTTATGTGGAGTTTTTCCGCTCAAATCAGACCAATAAAATTACAATTTTGATAAAAAGGCATTCGCCGCATAGAAAACTTGTTAACCGGGATCGACCCACTGGTCAACTCAGTTTGGCTCAGATCCAATGGGTAAAAACAGGCATAGAGATGGCAAACCATTATCTTCCTTCTTCTGCCTCTTGCGCCATTTTTTCCAGCCAGCTGAGCACTGCAATTGTCGATTCTCGATGGCATAAGTGGCATCTCTCATAGTTATACTTTCATACTCATACGCTTCCCCCCTCCACTGATCGACTTCCTACTTATTTTGATATCTTTACCACCTGAAGCAATGCGGATCTCGATTCAAAATTTTGTTCTTGTGTGCGACTTCATCTCCTACAAGCCCAAGCCAACTTTCAAGGGTTTCGCCACAAACCCGATGTGGCAAGCCGTCAATTTCGGTTGGTAAACATTTACAATCCAAAGAAATGCTTATTGATGATGCTAATTTAGAAATAAATGGATTAATTTCGTTTTTCAAAAGATATAAAGAAGATGAAAGGGCTAATAGAGGATTTTTATTTCAATTAATAATAACCATTGTTACTTTTTGAACAATGTTAGATAATATTATTACTTTTGTAATTATTTCTGAACTTATATAATTTTTAGGGTAAATACAATTTAATATCCAAACCTTTCATTTTAAACAATATAATAGCCAAGTCTTTTCAAAAACAATCTAATATCCAAATCGTCAACTTTCCATTCGTTTGACCGTTAGTTGACACTTCAAAAAAGCTTTGTTTAGGGGTAATTGTCACAATACAACTTTGTTTCTTGTTTTGGCATTGCAGATGACTGAATATTTAGATATTCTATACCATCATGGTGGAGTCATGGACTTCTAGGGTTTGGAACTACGATATGTTGGTGGTTTTTCAGAGAAGATATCGATGGATATTGATGAAGTGTCGTACTTCGAACTTTTTTGAAGTGTCAACTAACGGTCAAACAGTCAGAAAGTTGACGATTTGGATATTAAATTGTTTTCGAAAAGGTTTGGCTATTATATTGTTTAAAATAAAAGGTTTGGATATTAAATTATATTTATCCTAATTTTTATTATTAATAATAATAATTTATTAAATCATTTATGAGAAAAAATTTCGGGGCCAAATTATAAATTGTCTAATAGGACCTCCGAATACCATGGAACGGCCCTGTTGAGATTGATATGCATGTCACTAGGGAAAGGGTGAAATCAGGATCAATCAAGCTTCTCCATGTTAGAACAGTTGATCAAGTTGTTGATCTCTTTACTAAGGCTCTGAGCATATTTCGAATTGCAGAGTTACTCGACAAGCTTGGCCTGCAGACAGTACTCCAGCTTGAGGGAGGTGTAAGAAGGCTTGAACAGAGTTCATCAACTGCAATGGCGTCTGCCGCGAAATGGAAGAAGATGAAATTTGAATGCGTTTCGGACTTGAATACGATTCGTTATATGGGAACGTTTCGAGCATTCGTACGAAACGCATTGACGTCGTTTTATCATTAGTGGAGTTAGTTTCATTTTAGCTTTACTCTCTTCACCACGTGTCAAGGTGAATTGTATTTCGGTTTTATTTACCGTTGTAAATAGTAAAACTTGAAGCTAAGTATAAATAAGAAACAACCCAGCAACTCGTTCCATGCGGAATCGGCCTCTATCAGCTCGATATTTTCTTCAGTCATGCCTTACCATTTACTGGTGGATTAGTCGCGAATACCCAATGATGTGTAAACATGACATGCTTAGACACAGTTCATCCAAACTTCATCACAACTCCAAAATGAAAGATCCAGAGTCCAAAATAATATATGGTTCACTGATGGAACACACAGTTTGTAGTTCAACATATTTGTGGCATTCACAGCTGAGAAAGCAGAAGTAGCTAGAGATGGTATACAGTACACTGCTTGCAAAAAGAACGGAGAAAGAATCACTGGTGCAGAAGAAGAAAAAAGACATGTTTGCGCTAAACATCTGTCACTTGCCATAGCCATGCCTCTGTCTCATTCGTTCCTTAACGAACTCATCCCGAGCTCTAGTACGAGCTTGTTGAGGGGCGACATTGGCGTAGGAGAGATGCGCCGCGTAACCCATGATGGCGGCTGCTGCGGCAAACAAGGCCGCCGTCATCCCCAGTTTCTTGGGCGAGGAAGGGAAGCACGTGACCATGCTACGGGTTCTAATCCTGTACACTGCAACAGAAAGAAAGACCGAATGGAGGGAAGGAACTCAGTGGGGCATTTCGTCGAACACGTTGCAGGCAGTTGAACCAGATAATGAGTCTGTTAGCCATGAATTACAGGAGTGGTTCATTGAAATCAGATCAAGCTTCAGAGAAAATAATCATAAATGGATAGCAAACAGTGAGTATAAAAATAAACGGCGTACGTCGGATCTGCAGATGTTCAGGGGCAAACTGGAGTGGAGTTGAGACTTGAGAAAGGAGGGAGAATCCAAATCCTGCGTTGCGGATCTGCATTTATATATGGTGCCATAAATATTTTGATATATAAAAAAATTTCATTTAATAAGCATCAAAGGGGATGTAGCTCAGATGGTAGAGCGCTCGCTTAGCATGCGAGAGGTACGGGGATCGATACCCCGCATCTCCACTATTATTTGTTTTCCAATCTGTTCATCCGTCTCTGGGCCAACTTTGATTTCATTAAGCCCATGTGTAAATTCGTCATTAAGCCCACTAAAACCAGCCGGGCCTGTGCCTCATGTGTAAATTCGGCCACAGAAAAGCTCAAATGTAGGTAAGATAATATCACTTTTGGAATAATTATAATAAATATGTTGGGCTATACAAAAAGTAAATGGAGGAAAATCTTTTCTTTTTTTAGATTTTATAATTAAATGGAGGAAAATCTTAGTAAGGTAACCTTTGCGACGATATTAAAATTATTATTATAAATGATCATAAATTTAAATTATTATTATAAATGATCATAAATTTAAATTATTATTATAAATGATCATAAATCATAAAGTTGAATTCAAATTTCAATTCTAAAACTATCATTAGTTCCTCCCATTGAAGTCTATTGTTATAAGATTGTTGAATTCAAAATTATGACTATGCCGGGTGAGCCTAGAGTTCAACTCTTAAGTCCCTTCGAAAAACATCAGAAAAAAATTGGAACGATACCTTTCAAACTCCTAACCATTCATTTATTAACAAACCAAATTCAATCAATGAGCAACCCTAATATAATCAAACAGGTTCCAAACCCTAGCTACCTACTTATCCAGAAAGGTAATGTATGGGATGGACTCGTAGGGTCTCAGTTAAAAGCTTAATCAGTTTGGTAGCATTCATTTTCATTGTGTACAAAGCAGCCAGTACCACCACTAATAATTAAATTTCTTTCCCTAAGCTACACCAGTCAGTGATTGAAAATTATGTGTCTTTGGTTCCAGTCATTTTGATTCCCATTTGGTGCCTGTTTTCTTTATCACTTATCAATATGCATGAATCATACAAATACATATGGTCCGAATGAATTTCGTTGTCATGCCAATGTAAATATGAGTAAGCAACATGTTTGCATATATTTCAATTGCTCGTTGGTTTATGAATATACGATTTTTATATCAATATGCATCAAACATGAGAGAATGAGGATTGCGGTGCATTTGCATACAACATATATGAGAGTCGTCCAATAGCTGATTGAATGACAATAAAGTTTAAGTTGTTGCTATTATCTACTCCTCCAGCTTCAGTAGCCATGACCAAATTGATTTTGAATTGATCACAATGTTAGAATTACATTTAACATATGTAATCCACTAGAAAATTCATCTTGTCAGATATCAAAGGTTTTTGAAATACCTGGAAACATGTTGTTGATCGTCAAGAGCTTAATGCGGAATCTGGAAGACGATCTGGAACTAGACGATACTCCTAGAGCACGATCCAGGAGGTTCTGTGACCTTCCTCAACCAAGCCTCCATAGTTCATTTACGGGAATCCTCAGATCTTCCTGATGGGGAGAAGAAGAGATTGTTTGGTCTTGGTGTATTGGGGACCACAACCTCAAACTCCTTTATATACTAGTCACCATGGGCTCCCATAAGACCCAAGGTGAACAAGTATTGGGTTTCCACCCATTTAGGCCCATATCAATGCAAGATGTCTTTGGGCTCTTAATTGGATCACTTTCAATTAGCCCACATAACCAAATAGCCTATATAATTGAAAAATATGTGGCACATATCATAATAGGAAATAGAATTTCCTAACACACAAATCTAAGAAATTTAGGTAACTATGCCCCCCTAGAATTTGTTGATTTGTTTGAGGAATTGCATGTCATACAATTGCTTTTTGATTGATCTTTCTGGGTTAGACTTAATATGTCGTGTTGAAACAGGACAGCAACCCAACCAATCCTTTCACTCCCCAGCAAAACTATGTTAGGTAACTGGATGACTTGGCATGGATCCGATGCTTGTTGTTGGATCACCAACAAACTAACATAATCATAGCCCTCAAGTTTCCGGTAAAATTAATTAGCATTATTATTATTACTCTTGTAGTCTTGTTGGCAAGAAATTAATTCCAAGCACAAATTGACATTAAGCTTATTTTGAAGGGTACAAATAAAAGGACCATATTTGGACTTGAAGGACTGAACTCTATGTAACCCACGTGGCTTTCTAAGCAACACTTTAACAATATATATGTGCCTAAGTATTCTTTAATTAGTGCCTAATGTAGCAAAATGATTTTATATGGTTCTTACTTAGCTGATAACTTATAAATTAGGAGGACAGTTGTTTTTTTTTACCGTCTTCTCCTAACTCCTTGTTCCTAGAAGGTGTGATAGAGTCAGCAAATTTATCTTGCTACATCGGTAGTTCGCTTACAACGTACTGGTGAACTATTAAGTTTTGTTATTTGAATATTTTGTTATTGGGATTTATCTTTAACGTGAGAAGGGATACCACTACTTTTTTAAATAATAATTGATTTCAACGTTTGAATTGAACTGTGTGAACCTTATTTTCACACATAGCCACTAGAGTAAGATTACCCAAGTTGTTTCTGAATTCTGCTTTTGTGGTTTTTTTTTTTTTGTGTGGTTTATTTGTGTAACTTCGTTTCTTGGAAGGGGCAGGAGTGAATAAAGATTTGGTGAAATGGGCGATTGGGGTCTACTAGAGGATAGGTGAAAGAACGAAACTTGGCATAGGGGTGAATGAGGAGCATGCAGCTGCTGAAGTAGCTCTCAATGTCCTCCCCTCTAGAGTTCTGGTAAGAAAAAAAGCAGCAAGCTTTTTATCTCTTTTTTCCCCCTCTTTATTCCCTCCTGTTTGAAATTTTGGTTGGTTTTGCTTCTGGTTGTTGAAGGATGACTCCCGAATCAGCAAGAACCTGCTTCAGGAAACAGCTCAAAAAGCCGGGTTGAGCTTGCCAGTGTACACTACAGCGAGGTCAGGGCTTGAACATGTACCAATCTTCACTTGTGCTGTTGAGCTTGCTGGGATGAAGTTTACCGGTGAACCAGCTAAGACCAAGAAGCAAGCTGAGAAGAATGTTGCCATTGCAGCTTTGTCAGCTCTCAAAAGAAGCTTCCTTTCTTCGGTGGCTAAAGAACCGTTCTTTTTGTTTGCAATGCCAAACTTGGGTTCAATGGGAAGCAAAGAAGTAGATGGTGGTGAAGATCAAGAGCAGGCAGTTATGACAATGATGCTTTCCAATTTCAGGTCTAAAGAAGATTTCTCCTCCAAACAGGCTACAAGGGAGATTGGAGCAAACATCAGTGCCAATTTGAAGTCCCATCAAGCTGATACTGGCGCCGGTAAACAAGGTGAGGGTTTCGAGTTGATCATAGGCATTTGCATGATTTATGGTAAGTTAACAATGGAATCTTTAGCCTTTAGTTAAAGCTTTAGTTTGCCATAAGGTTATGTGACTTTCGAGTGGGGAAATTTAGGCATTCCCTGCCTACAATTTTCATGAACATGCTTGAGAAGGCAACCTATTTTGTACCGCAAACCACACTAGAAACCATGTTTAGTGTTTAGGGTACCTGAATGAGTTCTGCGCTGAGGGGATAGAGGCTCTTCTTGGTTACAATTTTTTTTCCGGGAACTCAAAAATCTGAACCATTTATAGTTGATATCCCATTTTAGAGCATCATCTAACTTAGAAAGGAGAGTTTGGATACCATTTTCTTGTGTCTGGCGTCAGAGTTCAGACCATTTCTGTTCATCTTCTTGGATATTAGAACTGACTTCACTGTTGTTCTATAACTTGCATCAGCAGCAGCCTCCATTGTGGAGATCAGCGACAGCGATGACAAATCCACCCCTCCAAAGGCAGGTACTTCCGAACAGCCACATTTGAGAGCTGGTCCTTCGGGAAAAGTAGCAGCTGAAGCTGAAACTGGGGTGCTGAAAATGAAGAGTTCCAGCTCCGGTCCAAACGATCGAGTTATCGTTTGTAAGTTAGAGAGAATTCCCGGCGAGGCGATGGGATGCGAACCGGTGAAACTTGATTTCGACGACAAAGTCGAAAGCCGGAGCACGGAGGAGATGGTATTGTCTCTGCGGCCAGAGTTCCAACTGTCGAAGTTCCAGTACATGGCCTCAATTCTGGCCTGCGAAGAGAATGAACTGAAGCTGGAGATCGAAGCCAAAGTGGAGGATCTCGAGAAGGTGAGGTCGGACAAGGTGAGATTGGAAGATGAGCTCAAACGTTGCAAAGAGGAGTGCTCGATTTTGAAGTTGCACCTACAGGCAAAGAAGGAAATGGAGGTTCGCGTTACTAAGTTCGAGGATTGCGAAGAAGACGTTGAGACAGGGGAAGTCCAAGCACAGCCGCCGGTGGATCGTGGCGAGAGTGTTCGGTTGACGGCGGAGGGAGACGGAATTGCTAATGCTTCAGGTTGTTTCTGAATTCTGCTTTTGTGGTTCTTTTTTTTTGTGGTTGATTTGTGTAACTTCGTTTCTTGGAAGGGGCAGGAGTGAATAAAGATTTGGTGAAATGGGCGATTGGGGTCTACCAGAGGATAGGTGAAAGAACGAAACTTGGCATAGGGGTGAATGAGGAGCATGCAGCTGCTGAAGTAGCTCTCAATGTCCTCCCCTCTAGAGTTCTGGTAAGAAAAAAAGCAGCAAGCTTTTTATCTCTTTTTTCCCCCCTTCTTTATTCCCTCCTGTTTGAAATTTTGGTTGGTTTTGCTTCTGGTTGTTGAAGGATGGCTCTCGAATCAGCAAGAACCTACTTCAGGAAACAGCTCAAAAAGCTGGGTTGAGCTTGCCAGTGTACACTACAGCGAGGTCAGGGCTTGAACATGTACCAATCTTCACTTGTGCTGTTGAGCTTGCTGGGATGAAGTTTACCGGTGAACCAGCTAAGACCAAGAAGCAAGCTGAGAAGAATGCTGCCATTGCAGCTTTGTCTGCTCTCAAAAGAAGCTTTCTTTCGCTTACTTCGGTGGCTAAAGAACCGTTCTTTTTATTTGCAATGCCAAACTTGGGTTCATTGGGAAGCAAAGAAGTAGATGGTGGTGAAGATCAAGAGCAGGCAGTTATGGCAATGATGCTTTCCAATTTCAGGCCTAAAGAAGATTTCTCCTCCAAACAGGCTACAAGGGAGATTGGAGCAAACATCAGTGCCAATTTGAAGTCCCATCAAGCTGATACTGGCGCCGGTAAACAAGGTGAGGGTTTCGAGTTGATCATAGGCATTTGCATGATTTATGGTAAGTTAACAATGGAATCTTTAGCCTTTAGTTAAAGCTTTAGTTTGCCATAAGGTTATGTGAATTTCGAGTGGGGAAATTTAGGCATTCCCTGCCTACAATTTTCATAAACATGCTTGAGAAGGCAACCTATTTTGTACAGCAAACCACACTAGAAACCATGTTTAGGGTTTAGGGTACCTGAATGAGTTCTGCGCTGAGGGGATAGAGTCTCTTCTTGGTTACAATTTTTTTTCCTGGAACTCAAAAATCTGAACCATTTATAGTTGATATCCCATTTTAAAGCATCATCTAACTTAGAAAGGAGAGTTTGGATTTTACCATTTTCTTGTGTCTGCCGTCAGAGTTCAGACCATTTCTGTTCATCTTCTTGGATATTATAACTGACTTCACTGTTGTTCTATAACTTGCATCAGCAGCAGCCTGCATTGTGGAGATCAGCGACATCGATGACAAATCCACCCCTCCAAAGACAGGTACTTCCGAACAGCCACATTTGAGAGCTGGTCCTTCGGGAAAAGTAGCAGCTGAAGCTGAAACTGGGGTGCTGAAAATGAAGAGTTTCAGCTCTGTCCCAAAAGATCGAGTTATCGTTTGTATGTTGGAGAGAATTCCCGGCGAGGCGATGGGATGCGAACCGGTGAAACTTGATTTCGACGACAAAGTCGAAAGCCGGAGCACGAAGGAGCTGGTATTGTCTCTGCGGCCAGAGTTCCAATTGTCGAAGTTCCAGTCCATGGCCTCAATTCTGGCCTGTGGAGAGAAGGAGCTGAAGCTGGAGATCGAAGCCAAAGTGGAGGATCTCGAGAAGGTGAGGTCGGACAAGGTGAGATTGGAAGATGAGCTCAAACGTTGCAAAGAGGAGTGCTCGATTTTGAAGCTACAGCTAGAGGCAAAGAAGGAAATGGAGGTTCGCGTTACTAAGTTCGACGGTTGCGAAGAAGACGTTGAGACAGGGGAAGTCCAAGCACAGCCGCCGAAGGATCATGGCGAGAGTGTTCAGTTGACGGCGGAGGGAAACGGAATTGCTAATGCTTCAGGTTGTTTCTGAATTCTGCTTTTGTGGTTCTTTTATTCACTCCTGCCCCTTCCAAGAAACGAAGTTACACAAATCAACCACAAAAAAAAAGAACCACAAAAGCATAATTCAGAAACAACTTGAAGCATTAGCAATTCCGTTTCCCTCCGCCGTCAACCGAACACTCTCGCCACGATCCTCCGGAGGCTGTTCTTGGACTTCCCCTGTCTCAACGTCTTCTTCGCAACCCTCGAACTTAGTAACGCGAAGCTCCATTTCCTTCTTTGCCTCTAGCTGCAGCTTCAAAATCGAGCACTCCTCTTTGCAACGTTTGAGCTCATCTTCCAATCTCACCTTTTCCGACCTCACCTTCTTGAGATCCTCCACTTTGGCTTCGATCTCCAGCTTCAGCTTCTTCTCTCCGCAGGCCAGAATTGAGGCCATGGACTGGAACTTCGACAATTGGAACTCTCGCCGCAGAGACAATACCAGCTCCTCCGTGCTCCGGCTTTCGACTTTGTCGTCGAAATCAAGTTTCACCGGTTCGCATCCCATCGCCTCGCCGGGAATTCTCTCTAACTTACAAACGATAACTCGATCGTTTGGGCCTGAGCTGGAACTCTTCATTTTCAGCACCGCAGTTTCAGCTTCAGCTGCTACTTTTCCTGAAGGACCAGCACTCAAATGTGGCTGTTCGGAAGAACCTGTCTTTGGAGGGGTGGATTTGTCATTGCTCTCTCTGATTTCCACAATGGAGGCTACTGCTGATGCAAGTTATAGAACAACAGTGAAGTCAGTTATAATATCCAAGAAGATGAACAGAAATGGTCTGAACTCTAACGGCAGACACAAGAAATAAAATCCAAACTCTCCTTTGTAAGTTAGATGATGCTCTAAAATGGGATATCAACTATAAATGGTTCAGATTTTTGAGTTCCTGGAAAAAAAATTGTAACCAAGAAGAGACTCTATCCCCTCAGCGCAGAACTCATTCAGGTACCCTAAACCCTAAACATGGTTTCTAGTGTGGTTTGCAGTACAAAACAGGTTGCCTTCTCAAGCATGTTCAAGAAAATTGTAGGCAGGAAATGCCTAAACTTCCCCACTCAAAAGTCACATAACCTTATGGCAAACTAAAGCTTTAACTAAAGGCTAAAGATTCAATTGTTAACTTACCATAAATCATGCAAATGCCTATGATCAACTCGAAACCCTCACCTTGTTTACCGGCGCCAGTATCAGCTTGATGGGACTTCAAATTGGCACTGATGTTTGCTCCAATCTCCCTTGTAGCCTGTTTGGAAGAGAAATCTTCTTTAGGCCTGAAATTGGAATGCATCATTGCCATAACTGCCTGCTCTTGATCTTCACCACCATTTACTTCTTTGCTTCCCAATGAACCCAAGTTTGGCATTGCAAACAAAAAGAACGGTTCTTTAGCCACCGAAGAAAGGAAGCTTCTTTTGAGAGCTGACAAAGCTGCAATGGCAACATTCTTCTCAGCTTGCTTCTTGGTCTTAGCTGGTTCACCGGTAAACTTCATCCCAGCAAGCTCAACAACACAAGTGAAGATTGTTACATGTTCAAGCCCTGACCTCGCTTAGTGTACACTGGCAAGCTCAACCCGGCTTTTTGAGCTGTTTTCTGAAGCAGGTTCTTGCTGATTCGAGAGTCATCCTTCAACAACCAGAAGCAAAACCAACCAAAATTTCAAACAGGAGGGAATAAAGAAGGGAAAAAAAAGAGATAAAAAGCTTGCCGCTTTTTTTCTTACAAGAACTCTAGAGGGAAGGACATTGAGAGCTACTTCAGCAGCTGCATGCTCCTCATTCACCCCTATGCCAAGTTTCGTTCTTTCACCTATCCTCTGGTAGACCCCAATCGCCCATTTCACCAAATCTTTATTCACTTCGCCCCTTCCAAGAAATGAAGTTACACAAATAAACCACAAAAAAAAGAACCACAAAAGCAGAATTCAGAAACAACCTGAAGCATTAGCAATTCCGTTTCCCTCCGCCGTCAACCGAACACTCTCGCCACGATCCTACGGCGGCTGTGCTTGGACTTCCCCTGTCTCAACGTCTTCTTCGCAACCCTCGAACTTAGTAACGTAAACCTCCATTTCCTTCTTTGCCTCTAGCTGCAGCTTCAAAATCGAGCACTCCTCTTTGCAACGTTTGAGCTCATCTTCCAATCTCACCTTGTCCGACCTCACCTTCTCGAGATCCTCCACTTTGGCTTTGATCTCCAGCTTCAGCTCCTTCTCTCCGCAGGCCAGAATTGAGGCCATGGACTGGAACTTCGACAATTGGAACTCTGGCCGCATACCAGCTCCTCCGTGCTCCGGCTTTCAACTTTGTCGTCGAAATCAAGTTTCACCGGTTCGCATCCCATCTCCTTGCCAAGAATTCTCTCTGCTGTAGGGTTATGAAGGGGACTGGAAGCGACTAAGGGCCAAGAAGAAATCGTTTTCAATTTATACCAATCAATTCCCCTTTCCCCCATTAATTCCAATTAATCCCCCACCACGGATCCAATTAATTCACCCTTTCCCAATTACAATTCCAACTAATCCCCCACTGATCTGATCCCATTAACCCATTTAATTTCCCTTTACCCAATACAATTCCAATAAATTTCCCCCACTGAATCCGATTAATTCCCGTTTACCTCATTTAATTTGATAATTTCCCTTTCCCCAATTATAATTACAATTCCAATTAATCCCCCATGAATTCCATTAATTCCCCGTTTCTTTCCAAGATTAATTTCCCGATGGATCCAATTAAGTCCACTTTCCTTCCCGAATTCCCGTCGCGAGTGTCGCAACCGTCCCTCCGGGGGTCCGATGTCGTCGCGTCTGCATTTTTGGGAGTCGCCATCGATCTTACTTGGAGTGGATCGAACACTCTTCGGTCGGCTCTAACCTTAGGTCAGAATCGGGGATTGGTCTACGAATTAGAAATATAGAGATCTAGGTTCGGGAGTACGGTTACGTGCGGCGAAGTGAAATCACACCCCACAACGCCCTAAATCGTTACTACTTAAGTTGATAAGTTTAAATGTGTTGGGTGTGTTTTATAGTAATAATTTCGTATTTTCAGGGTTTTAAATAAATATAATTATACGGTTGATCATATTAACGCATGATGGGCCAGCAGCCCAATTGGCTAAATTGCCTGACCTTGACCCTGTTCGACCCATAGAACGACGGTTCGAAACGCGCTTACCACGAATATTTTTTTTGGTCTCGTTTCAGTGCAGAGAAGGGGAAGGGCAGTATGGTAAATTCACAAAAGAACGATGGCAGTTGCGTGTAGTATTTGCAAAATCCTAAGGGCATAATAGTCATTTTGCACAACTTGGTATAAATTCTTCTCTAGAAACCCTAAGAGGCCATTGTGGCCGCTTCTCGCCTCTCTTCTTCTCCATTCTCTTCCTCTTCCCTTCTGGAAGAACAAATCGAACCAAATAGAAAGGAAAAAAACGACAGAACAAAATCATCATCTCTCCCTTCCTAGTCATCTCTCATCCTCCTTTGAGACGAGGACAACAAACCCCAAGCGAGGCTCCTCTTCCTCTCGATCCGCCGTCGGTCATCCAGATACGACCCGAAAACCCAAATCGACCATCAGAGGACAATCGACCTAGGTAAATCCCGACATGCACATTTCCTTTCTTAGGATTTTGGTTTTTTAATAGGATTCTAACCTTTTTCGTTTTGTTTGAATCAATGGTTTCTGGGTTTTGGTTTGGGCGAAAGGGAATAGCAATCGACAGAAGAAGGAGAAAGGCTCCCCTTTTGATTCAGGCAAGAGAACGGCTCTAGCCTCCCTAAATCGATCGGAAATCGACGATCTAGGTAAGATTCTCGACTTGCAACGTCTTTTCAATCTGTTTTCTGTGATTTTATTTGGGATTCAGCTAATATTTATTTCTTTTTTCTCGTATTTTGGATTTGGTCGGCGGCGATACCCTGCCGACGACGATCTACGGTTCCAAACAAAAGAAAGGTAGGACTTCGACTCCTAAATTTATGTCAATCTATCGTTTTTATTTATTAATAAAAAAAACTTAATCTAATTCGTTCTTTTTTTATAGGTTTGAAAGAGAGGCCAGATCTGGGCAAGGCTCTTCTAACCTCGGTCTGGTATGATTAAGGATAATTAAACTGAATAAACGGATTATTATTGTTGATTTGGGATTGATTAGCAGATATGTGGTTTGGAAACATGACGTATGTGGATTTGATGACCATCTATGAGTTCGATGATTTTGGTGTTTGGTGGATAGTTTTACATACAAATCTTGATATATTGGAATTTGCTAAAAAGAAAAAAAGTTTTTGTAATGGGTAAGTAATTAAATTGCCCTAAAATAGCTAATTTTGGTAATTATAAATCATTGCCTCTGCCCGTGATGTCTCTAAATTATGGACTTTGCTGTTAGTTTTTTTTAATCTGAAAATTATTGTGATTGGGATTTTGTTTGGATCTGGATTCACGTTCATCCGTGAACTTCTAAAAAGTGGTTTTTGCTTCTAAAAAAAATGTATGCTATCTGGTTGTACTTTAACTTGCCCATTTATGACGGATAAGGGAATCTAAGTATGGCAGAAAATTAACTCAAAACATCCACCTCTACTCATAGTTAAGTCAATCAGCATAGTAGTAATAGCATAGACGAAGCTAATAATACGAGAGGAAAATGAAACTTTAATGGTAGAGCTTAATGAAGCTTATACGAGCAGATCTTGGTAAATGGAGTGCTTGAATGTAAAGAAGCTTGAAAGTAAAACGCTAGATTGACGATTTTGACATTAAGGTGGTTGACTATAAACTTCACAAAATGAAATGAGATCTTATTAAGAAGGTAGCTGGGTATAAACACCAACCTGGTTGAAGCTTCTGGCCTTAGAATGAGCTCCTTTTGCTTCTCTTCAAATCTCTGGACTGAACTTCGTACAATAGAAGGATCGAAAATGAAAACAGGATGCTAGTGTATCTCTTGAATGTTCGTCTGTTCTTCTCTCTTGGAACCCCCCCTCAACGAAGAGCTCAAGGAGCTCATTTAAAGCAAAATGAACTGTCATGTGTCTTCTCTTCATTGGCCAATTGTGAGGCAAATTGTGAGACCTCCACACAGTTGGTCGGTTCTGCATGGTCAGGATAGGGTTGGCACACAATTCTGTGCTGGTTGGGCCGGTGGATAAGGTTGGGCCGACTCAGGTTTGAGACTTGTGTGCTGGTCTGGAATCAACTGGGTTCAAAACGGGCTGAGTTGGGCTGGATGTTTGTTGTGGGCTTGGAATTAGGCCTTGATCTGACTGGTTTTCTTTTATGTTGCAGGTCTCCAGGACTGGGCCTAAAATGAGGGGCTGAAGAAAAGAACTAGTCTTTCTTTGTATATGTAGATTTTGTAATGGCTCATGTAATTTCATTTTCCTTCAATGCCGACATTCTCGATGCAAATGACGATGTAAGAAATCAATTAGCAAAGTTTATTTTAGTCTACTGATTCGTGCTCTATATATTGTAATTCATATCAACATCCAA